GTTTTTGTCTGATTTCTTATTGATATCAAGTTAGGCTGTTTTTGTCTGACGTCTTTCTTGATATCAAGTTAGGCTGTTTTTGTCTGATGTCTTATTGATATCAAGTTAGGCTGTTTTTGTCTGATGTCTTCTGTATGTCAAGATAGACTGTTTTTTGTCTGATATCTTATTCATATTAAGTTAGGCTGTTTTTTTCTGATGTCTTTCTGTATGTCAAGTTAGGCTGTTTTTGTCTGATGTCTTTCAGGATATTAAGTTAGGCTGTTTTTGTCAGATTTCTTATTGATATCAAGTTAGGCTGTTTTTGTCTGACGTCTTTCTTGATATTAAGTTAGGCTGTTTTTGTCTGATTTCTCATTGATATCAAGTTAGGCTGTTTTTGTCTGATGTCTTTCTGGATATTAAGTTAGGCTGTTTTTGTCTGATGTCTTTCTTGATATTAAGTTAGGCTGTTTTTGTCTGATTTCTTTCTGTATGTCAAGTTAGGCTGTTATTGTCTGATGTCTTTCTTGATATTAAGTTAGGCTGTTTTTGTCTGATTTCTTTCTGTATGTCAAGTTAGGCTGTTTTTGTCTGATGTCTTTCTGTATGTCAAGTTAGGCTGTTTTTGTCTAATGTCTTTCTGTATGTCAAGTTAGGCTGTTTTTTGTCTGATTTCTTTCTGTATGTCAAGTTAGGCTGTTTTTGTCTGATGTCTTTCTTGATATTAAGTTAGGCTGTTTTTGTCTGATTTCTCATTGATATCAAGTTAGGCGGTTTTTGTCTGATGTCTTTCTGGATATTAAGTTAGGCTGTTTTTGTCTGATGTCTTTCTTGATATTAAGTTAGGCTGTTTTTGTCTGATTTCTCATTGATATCAAGTTAGGCTGTTTTTGTCTGATGTCTCTCTGGATATTAAGTTAGGCTGTTTTTGTCTAATGTCTTTCTGTATGTCAAGTTAGGCTGTTTTTTGTCTGATTTCTTTCTGTATATTAAGTTAGGCTGTTTTTGTCTGATGTCTTTCTGGATATTAAGTTAGGCTGTTTTTGTCTGATGTCTTTCTGGATATTAAGTTAGGCTGTTTTTGTCTGATTTCTCATTGATATCAAGTTAGGCTGTTTTTGTCTGATGTCCTTCTTGATATTAAGTTAGGCTGTTTTTGTCTGATGTCTTTCTTGATATTAAGTTAGGCTGTTTTTGTCTGATTTCTTATTGATATTAAGTTAGGCTGTTTTTGTCTGATTTCTTATTGATATCAAGTTAGGCTGTTTTTGTCTGATGTCTTTCTTGATATTAAGTTAGGCTGTTTTTGTCTGATTTCTTATTGATATCAAGTTAGGCTGTTTTTGTCTGATTTCTCATTGATATCAAGTTAGGCTGTTTTTGTCTGATGTCTTTCTGGATATTAAGTTAGGCTGTTTTTGTCTGATTTCTTATTGATATTAAGTTAGGCTGTTTTTGTCTGATTTCTTATTGATATTAAGTTAGGCTGTTTTTGTCTGATGTCTTTCTTGATATTAAGTTAGGCTGTTTTTGTCTGATTTCTTATTGATATTAAGTTAGGCTGTTTTTGTCTGATTTCTTATTGATATCAAGTTAGGCTGTTTTTGTCTGATGTCTTTCTGGATATTAAGTTAGGCTGTTTTTGTCTGATTTCTTATTGATATTAAGTTAGGCTGTTTTTGTCTGATGTCTTTCTTGATATTAAGTTAGGCTGTTTTTGTCTGATTTCTCATTGATATCAAGTTAGGCTGTTTTTGTCTTATGTCTTTCTGTATGTCAAGTTAGGCTGTTTTTGTCTAATGTCTTTCTGTATGTCAAGTTAGGCTGTTTTTGTCTGGTGTCTTTCTGGATATTAAGTTAGGCTGTTTTTGTCTGATGTCTTTCTGTATGTCAAGTTAGGCTGTTTTTGTCTGATGTCTTTCTGTATGTCAAGTTAGGCTGTTTTTGTCTGATGTCTTTCTTGATATTAAGTTAGGCTGTTTTTGTCTGATGTCTTTCTTGATATTAAGTTAGGCTGTTTTTGTCTGATGTCTCTCTGGATATTAAGTTAGGCTGTTTTTGTCTGATGTCTTTCTGGATATCAAGTTAGGCTGTTTTTGTCTGATTTCTTATTGGTTATCAAGTTAGGATATTTTCAAGAAGTGAATTTTGACCAGATTTTAAGGGTTGTGAGTGCCAAGACAAGCTTTGAGAGGACACCAGGCTTTATATGATACAAAATAATCAGTATATATTAAAAACATTTGGTCATAAAACATAGTAATCCCTATGTGAACTATATGTGAGGCGATTACAGAAGAAATACTTCTTAAAGCATGAGTGATAAATATCTAAAAAATTTAAATGAAAAAGAAGTAGAAAAAAGCATGAAAAAATTTGATAAAATTTGATAAAAGATAATAGAATTAAGTCTGTAGAAATGTTTGATAAGAGAAATAAGTCTGTAGAAATATTTGATAAGAGAAATACGTCTACAGAAATGTTTGATAAGAGAAATAAGTCTGTAGAAATATTTGATAGAGAAATAAGTCTGTAGAAATATTTGATAGAGAAATAAGTCTGTAGAAATATTTGATAAGAGAAATAAGTCTGTAGAAATGTTTGATAAGAGAAATAAGTTTGTAGAAATGTTTGATAAGAGAAATTAGTCTGTAGAAATATTTGATAAGGGAAATGACAGTCTGTAGAAATGTTTGATAAGAGAAATAAGTTTGTAGAAATGTTTGATAAGGGAAATAAGTTTGTAGAAATGTTTGATAAGAGAAATAAATTTGTAGAAATGTTTGATAAGAGAAATAAGTTTGTAGAAATGTTTGATAAGGGAAATAAGTTTGTAGAAATGTTTGATAAGAGAAATAAATTTGTAGAAATGTTTGATAAGAGAAATAAGTCTGTAGAAATGTTTGATAACAGAAATAAGTCTGTAGAAATATTTGATAAGAGAAATAAGTCTGTAGAAAGAAATGTTTGATAAGAGAAATAAGTCTGTAGAAATATTTTATAAGAGAAATAAGTCTGTAGAAATGTTTGATAAGAGAAATAGGTTTGTAGAAATATTTGATAAGAGAAATAAGTCTGTAGAAATATTTGAAATATTTGATAAGAGAAATAAGTATGTAGAAATGTTTGATAAGAGAAATAACAGTTTGTAGAAATGTTTGATAAGAGAAATAAGTCTGTAGAAATATTTGAAATGTTTGATAAGAGAAATAAGTCTGTAGAAATATTTGAAATGTTTGATAAGAGAAATAAGTCTGTAGAAAGAAATGTTTGATAAGAGAAATAAGTCTGTAGAAATGTTTGATAGAGAAGTAAGTCTGTAGAAATATTTGATAAGAGAAATAAGTTTGTAGAAATGTTTGATAAGAGAAATAAGTCTGTAGAAATGTTTGATAAGAGAAATAAGTTTGTAGAAATGTTTGATAAGAGAAATAAGTCTGTAGAAATATTTGATAAGGGAAATGACAGTCTGTAGAAATGTTTGATAAGAGAAATAAGTCTGTAGAAATGTTTGATAAGAGAAATAAGTCTGTAGAAATGTTTGATAAGAGAAATAAGTCTGTAGAAATATTTGATAAGAGAAATGATAGTTTGTTGAAATGTTTAATGCTGTAGGATGATTTTATAGTTTTGAGTAGAAATATAAAGATTAAAAAAAAGTTAAATCAATAGAATTTGGAATCTTAATAATTTGTATGATATAAAGATTTGCTGTCAGGAGTTGAATTTCTGATGTATGCTGTAAAAACATGATATTAGTAGAGATAACCTCCCTGTAAGATTGTACACAAGATACACCATCACACACTGGTGTAGAGCCTGGAGCCACCCACCACAGTGCCAGAAGCTCCTCTAGGGCCTATGTAGTATGGTAATAGTGTGTAACTTTGGTGTTGTAACAGAAGGCAATGTCCAACTACATTCTAATGTAATTAGATCCATCAACACTGTGGATACTGCTACACAACTGGATTCCTACTTGGAGAAGCCTTTACTTGGGATAGTTGGTGTCAAATTGTAACTCTTCAAGCAAGTTTTACACTGAAAGTTTTACACCAGATGGATTGCTGAAACTCCAGCTGGTGTTTACACTGGATTTTACTTTCCATTGAGTTTTACATTGGAAAAGTTTAACACTGGAAAAATTTTACACTGCTGTAACATTATTTCTTAATTACGCTAGATCAATCTTATGAGTCTTAAAGTTTGATTGCATTTCAATATTTAATTCATTTGGATATTATCAAAGTTACCAGCTTCTATAGCAAACTGCCCGTCATTTTCTTGCACAATAATTTCAGCTTTCTATGGAATGACATAACTGCACATGTCAGATCTTCAAAAAAAAATTCAATGATTCTGGTTAATTTTGTGTCAGGATTCTGTTGGATTAAAGTTATAATGTAAGAAAAAAACAATTTCACTATCAGTTTACATAGATTCTGTGAAACGAGTCTGGGTGTTACATGTGTTATCAGTACAAAAAATAGATTTAAACAGCTATGACCAAACATTTTTTGATGAAATGATAAATTGTTATTTTAATATTACTGATCTGTTTTAAATTTCTTTTTATTTCCATGTAAATGATGGAAATTCTGTGGCCTAAATCTCCTAGCATTGTGTAAGGTTTTTAACAAATCTGAATATTTGTATTGGAGATAAGTATTCTTTTGACTTCTGTATTTTTTATTTCTTGTTTTGATAAAAGGGGGAAATAAAATAACAAAAGGAAAAGACAAAAAGATGATAGTTAGGTTAAGCAATTACACCAAGTGTTATAAAGGCAAGTTCAATGTTCTGATAGTGTTGTGTGGGGATATACTCTCCTTGGTATCACTTCTGGAGTCAAGTTTCTGTGGTAGCAGACCTGAAAAACTCCAAGGAAATGAATGCTACAGGAAGTCAGGTGTATTTTGATGTACTAGAGTGACAGGAATTACCTGTAAGACAGGAAGTGGAGCTGTTGTGTGTTGTTTACATTCACATTTTATTGGCTGTTTCTTGGGCTTTGGGACTATGGCGTTTCAATATTTAGGAATGATGATGGTAAAATTAGCCCACTGGAAAAACTTCAAAAGGAAGAAGGTAATAGGAGCTTTAGTTATTCTGAACTAGAACCAAGGGTCATATCAGTGTACAACATGGCAGTCAAACTATATTGAATATTTATATCTAGACCTTAAAACATATGATATGTGTATGTTGACCTTAAAACATTGTTCTGTGACCTTAGATATGTGTATGTTGACCTTAAAACATTGTTCTGTGACCTTAGATATGTGTATGTTGACCTTAAAACATTGTTCTGTGACCTTAGATATGTGTATGTTGACCTTAAAACATAGTTCTGTGACCTTAGATATGTGTATGTTGACCTTAAAACATTGTTCTGTGACCTTAGATATGTGTATGTTGACCTTAAAACATAGTTCTGTGACCTTAGATATGTGTATGTTGACCTTAAAACATAGTTCTGTGACCTTAGATATGTGTATGTTGACCTTAAAACATTGTTCTGTGACCTTAGATATGTGTATGTTGACCTTAAAACATTGTTCTGTGACCTTAGATATGTGTATGTTGACCTTAAAACATTGTTCTGTGACCTTAGATATGTGTATGTTGACCTTAAAACATTGTTCTGTGACCTTAGATATGTGTATGTTGACCTTAAAACATTGTTCTGTGACCTTGATTATTTGTATTTTCATCGTAAAACTGAGTGTTGTGACCTTGAATATTTAGATATTGAACTTTGATACATCAACATTGAAAAATGTTACTGTAGCTTGAATTCATTCGTTGTATCTAAAATATTTGTTTTATGCTAATTATGGTAGGACATTATTGCATATATAAAAGAAATATTTCACGATCATTCCTTAGTATTTCTTTCATGGCTTCAACGTTAAATCTTTATACCTCAGTAAATACTAGTTATAGAATGATCAGTTTACTACTCAACATCAAGTTTGTTTTCAGTTCTGGTTTCTAGCCTTCAGTTACATTTCATTCCAGTTAACCACAGATATCTTTCTTAATGCTGTATTTTGAAATATCTATATTGTACATACCATTAAACTTATATGATAATGTTGATATTATTTTTCTGTATGACAATAAATATTTTCCTAAAAAAATTGAAGAAAATCTGCAATTTAAAATTCCCACTCACTAAGCACTAGTTAGTTTGTTTTTTGGTTCCTTGTTGTATACCTTGTTTTCATTTGAAAACATGACATTACTTACTTGGATTGACCAAGGGTTACGTTGCAAATATCGTTGATGAAGCAGAAGACGCTTAACTTCCAGAACACCTGGTCTTATTTTCCTTGTACTTTTTTAGGAGTCTGTGTGTAAATCTTTCTTTCGCTCATATTTTGCCATAATTTAAATGGACTTTGAGTTTGGATTACATGATGACATGTTGGTATTACATAAATTTCTTTTTTTGAAAGGTCTGTAGTACCATCAAATGCAGTTTAACACTTTGCACTTTCGTGGATTATGTGTTGAGGAATTTTATAAATGAAGTGTTTGGTTTACATGTCCAATAATGTATGTGGGCTGATATTTCTGAATATATGCATTTGAAAACAAAAACAAAAACAGACAAAATAAAAAAACAAGCTTATGCTTTACTGGTGTGGCTACCTCTGATTAAGGAATGCACAGTATCGAAATGAATGGTGAATAGTTCGGTAGCAAGGGGGAGTAACTCTTCTTGATATTTACAACATCAGAAATATGGATAAGAGAAAAACTCAGAATATGAATTTGTCATATGAACATAGCTGATAAATTTTGTAACTGAAAATTTCAGGGAGGAGAAGAGGTAAGGGTGGATTGGGAGGGAAGGCAAGAGGAAGGGGGGGGGGGGTTCTTCAGAAGTATTAACTGACTACAAACACAATTATAGACTTGGAAGAAACTATATCCCTGAAATAAACTATATTCCTGGTAAAAATTGAATCGTGCAGGGTATGATCCAGAAACTTTGATCTAATTTATATCATAACTTTTGATTAAATTGATGAGAATTCATTTGAAATGGCTACATTATGATGTAAAAGTTAGTTGTAAGTTATTACTATGGAAGTCTATTACAGGTACATTTGGCACTACTGAAAGAGAAAATGGTATTTGGAAATGATTAGAAATCTGGCATTTTGACAGACAAGCAAAATAGAAAAGCTTGTGGTAAATTTTATAGAAATGTTAATAGAGTCGTCCTAGCTAATGTGAATTTGAAACATCAGCCCTGCATCAAAGAGTCATTTATATCCCCTAGTCATTCTGGTAAATATATACACGACTTTATCAGAAAACTATCCTACAAAATTTTGTTTAGAATTCTGAAAGTTGTGTCTTTCCAAGGTGAAATGGTCGAGATGGAATGATATTTGATAATTTTTGTCCAAAGTCAACATTGTTTTAGGTCATCTGGGAATCGCCTTTTGTCCGTCGTCATCCGTCATACATCCTCCGTCGTAGGTTAGATGTTATTTTGCCTCAAAACACTTCTTCTTATAGCCTTGGTAGATTTCAACCAAATTTGGCCTGAAACATTATCAGGGCGTGGCATTGATATCAAATGAAGTGATCCTGACCAAATCTTAGTTTTTGCTTTGGTCCAAAATCAAACATAATTCATCTAGGACAAATAGTCTGAACTACTTCTCAAGTTTCATTCATACCAATGAGAAAAATACTTGGAGTTTGATTTGTTAAAGTATTTTCAGCCTGAACAAAACTTCCAACAAGGTAACCACAGTAGTTATTTTGTAACATGATGGTTCAACTGTTTTTATGCACAGAACCTACCTTTCATCAAGTTCTCATACTTTCAAGGAATGTTCAAAATTTGAAATCATCAGATTTGTCAGACAACCATTAGTGAATATTGTGTTTTGCTATCAGACTTGTTCATTCATGGATTGTCAGATGACCGCAAAGGGCCATGGCCTTCTTGTCATTTTTTTTTTTTACATGCAAGTTTTGAAAGTTTTGAAACTTGAACATGATCTAAATAGGTAAACAATCAATTTTCTGTTTCTAACATCTGTTCAAGATTAACAGATTTCTATGCATTTCGTCTGGTACATATTCCATCAGTAGAGATCTTGTTCTATATTAAGTGTACCTTAATTTCTATATTTCTCCACATGAACTGAATAGGTACTAGCCCCTTTGTACAGTGTTATGATCTAATTAACTGCAATCTTTTGTAGCCTGTCAGCTGATTATTCCAGTTATAGACAGATGGAAAACATTTGTAGGAGTGTGGGGACCTGTAAAACATCAAAATCTTAAATAAAGTGTTTGAAAGGAAGTCTTGTAAAACATAACAGTCCTGCATCACACTCATGGTAAAGACATGCTTAGTGATAACAACAAACTGTTATAATCACCTGTCTAAAATGACCACTTGTCTGTTATGATCACCTGTCTAAAATGACCACTTGTCTGTTATGATCACCTGTCTAAAATGACCACTTGTCTGTTATGATCACCTGTTTAGAAAGACCATTGTCTGTGATAATCACCTGTCTAAAATGACCACTTGTCTGTATGATCACCTGGATAAAATGACCACTTGTCTGTTATGATCACCTGTCTAAAATGACCACTTGTCTGTTATAATCACCTGTCTAAAATGACCACTTGTCTGTTAAAATCACCTGTCTAAAATGACCACTTGTCTGTTATGATCACCTGTTTAGAAAGACCATTGTCTGTTATAATCACCTGTCAAAAATGACCATTTGTCTGTTATGATCACATGTCTAAAATGACCACTTGTCTGTTATTATCACCTGTTTAGAAAGACCATTGTCTGTTATGATCACCTGTCTAAAATGACCACTTGTCTGTTTTGATCACCTGTTTAGAAAGACCATTGTCTGTGATAATCACCTGTCTAAAATGACCACTTGTCTGTTATGGTCACCTGTCTAAAATGACCACTTGTCTGTTATGATCACCTGTTTAGAAAGACCATTGTCTGTGATAATCACCTGTCTTAAATGACCATTTGTCTGTTATGATCACATGTCTAAAATGACCACTTGTCTGTTATGATCACCTGTTTAGAAAGACCATTGTCTGTTATGATCACCTGTTTAGAAAGACCATTGTCTGTTATGATCACCTGTTTAGAAAGACCATTGTCTGTTATGATCATCTATCTTAAGTAAACTCTTCTCTACAAATCTTTAAAAAACATCTGTCGATAAATTTTGTCAAATCAGTTTTGAAGTTAATTATTCAGACAGGAATTGGTTGATCTTCAGCCATCAAAATGTTTTCACATAAGTCACTAATACGACAAATTAGTTTTGCTGGGCAAAGAAATAAATAAGATTAGATGAGTAGGGGGTCACAATGTTAAAACGAAGGAACATTTACATAATTATGTTTGCCATGTAACAAGATTTAAGTACAGCGACGAAAGTACTCATGTCTGTCTCGGACTGAAGAGAATTTAACTGGTTATGGTGCCAATGGGTGTCTATGTTAATAACATATCTATTCTGTATTGTCTGTGAAAGGAAAAAGGGAGGTAATCTGTGTGGTAAGGTGGCGGGAAAAGAAAAAGGGAGGTAATCTATGTAGTAAGATTGTGTTAAGGTAAAGGGAGATAGCCTTTGTGGAAAGGTGGTTGTCAAAGAGAAAGGGGGAGATAGCCTTTGTGGAAAGGTGGTTGTCAAAGAGAAAGGGGGAGATAGCCTTTGTGGAAAGGTGGTTGTCAAAGAAAAGGGAGGTAATCTGTGTGGTAAGGTGGTTGTCAAAGAAAAGGGAGATAATCTATGTGGTAATGTGGTTGGTAAAGAAAAAGGGAGTTAATCTATGTGGTAATGTGATTGATAAAGAATAAGGAAGGTAATCTTTGTGGTAATGTGGTTGATAAAGAATAAGGAAGGTAATCTGTGTGGTATGATTGTGGGTTAAGAGAAAGGGAGGTAATCTGGTAAGATGGTGGGTGTGTTCAGAATGGTGGTAACGAAAATATTAGAGAATGTCGGAAGAATGAGACAAATGGTGCGTGAGAAAAAGGGAGAGTTCAGAACAGAGGTAACGAATAGATTGGGGAGTGTCGGAAGAATGAGACAAATGGTGCTTGAGAAAAGGGGAATGTATGGGAAAAGGGAATAGAAATCAATTAATTTCTAATGATGGGGGGAAACTAAGGCTGTGGTTTAGAGTCCAAGTAGTTTTAGAAGGTAAGGTCTGGCAGGTAAACAAGTGCTGATATTCCTCATGTGTTTCTAAACATGTTCTCTAGCCAAAACGTTGGCTACATCAAAAAGATTTTTTAAACAGTTCTTCATTAATTCATTTCCAGCAAGAGAAAATATCTGTTGTTTGTAGATAACAGGGACTCACATTTTCACCCTCTTCCCATTTTGCTTGTTAGAATTAATTATAACGAAACATTCACCTTTTCCTATGGATACCTTACATCAGGATTTTTTTTTTAATTTGAATTTAATTTTTGCGAAGTCATTGGATACAACTAAAAGAAATGAAATATGAGAAACTTTATTATATTGAGAGAGTAATGACAGGTCTAAAAAACTTAGATAGAAAAAAGGATAATAGTTTACCAAGTATGCAAAAAATGAAAACATTGAAAGATCTCTATAGGATAAATGTTTTAATGTCAGAGAATTGTTTGATACAGGTTTTCAATGTATAATTCTCAGTTTGAAGTTCTGTGTTAGAGAGTATCACTGTTTTGATTTTTGTGTATTACCTCTCTTGTTTTAGTATAATAAGGGAATTTAATCAAGGAATGCGGAATCATTCTGAACATTGATATGAAACACAGAATCAGTTTAAACTGTCTAGTCATCACAGCAGCCAGACCCTTTTGTATGATATTCAGTGGTGAGCTTTATTTTTACAGATCATGCCAAACATTTTGGGCTTTAATACTGCTCCTAGCAATGCATTTTCTATTTCTCATTAAATTTGACATAAAATTAAATTACTGCTAAAGGAAGTATGGGTTTCTTTGGAGTTCAAGACTTTGTACAATGACAGAGTTTAGCAGGATGAGACAGCTGTGAGAATGCCAGACAGTTTCAGTAAAAGCTTCTATCCAGAGAAGGAAGTCAGAGTTTAGCAGGATGAGACAGCTGTGAGAATGCCAGACAGTTTCAGTAAAAGCTTCTATCCAGAGAAGGAAGTCAGAGTTTAGCAGGATGAGACAGCTGTGAGAATGCCAGACAGTTTCAGTAAAAGCTTCTATCCAGAGAAGGAAGTCAGAGTTTAGCAGGATGAGACAGCTGTGAGAATGCCAGACAGTTTCAGTAAAAGCTTCTATCCAGAGAAGGAAGTCAGAGTTTAGCAGGATGAGACAGCTGTGAGAATGCCAGACAGTTTCAGTAAAAGCTTCTATCCAGAGAAGGTAGTCAGAGGCCGACTGATATAGAAGACTAAGTCACATTTTTCCCTCTCGTTACATTTATACACTGGTAGTGATACTGATATTGCCAGTAGATCCTGGTGACATAATAAAACTGTTTTCCATTTCCATGTTACAGGGTGATATCAGTATTGTTATTGAGGATTACGCTGCAGCTAATAACTCCGAACTGACAATCCAAAGAGGACAGCAAGTGGAAATACTCGACCCCACTCCTGGAGAACCAAACTGGTGCTTAGTGAAGTCCCTTACTCCGCCCGGTGAGGGAGAACCCAGTCAGGGGCTTGTACCCCTATCCACTCTCAAACCCCTACCAGTGATGCGAGGGCCAGGATCAAGAAGCAGTATGGATCTGGATGGTTAGAATATAATTATCACTGTCAGTTAAACATTTTATAGTCACACATTTTAAGTGATCTTTCTCTGGCATTTTATTGAGTTAATTCTAATTTTGAAATAATGAGCTATAGAATAGCTCTATTGAAATTTTATGTAGAAAACTAGACCTGAGATAAAGGAAAGTGAGGACCAGTATAGATTATAGGTGTATCAGTATTTACTCATTTTAACCTTTTTGTTTGTAGAGACATTAGGTATGGCTGGAGATGCAAGCCCTAGCTCTTCTATGGTAGCTCTCAACGTTGCTTCACCAATGAGCAAGAGGAAACCTAGCTTCAGGTAAGACCTTATCTCATTTTTCATTGGTTGTAAGTCATCTCATTTAGATTCTGATTGGCTGATGCACCAGAAATCACTTTCTAGTGATAAATTTCATGATATCCAGTACCTCAATTCTTATTGGCTCATTTCTTATCACATCATGTTAATTGAGTGCTGATTGGCTCATATCTTCTCACAATTTGTTAATTGAGTTCTGGTTGGCTGATATCCATTTACAAATTGTCTTCTGGACACTGACCTGTTACACAACATAATAAAACAATAATCAACATCATTACAGAGACTTATCATGATTCTGATTGGTGGGAATACCAGCAGAAAATCTTACATCTTTATTATGATTGGCTGAAGAATCTTTGTATACATAACTTAGTCACTAAATTGCCAGAAACACTGTGGTGAATTCTTGCAGAAATTCTTTTCAATCTTACATTAACTGTTCAGACATTTGGTTTCCTATCTCAAACTAGATTATAGAAAATGGAAAGAAATTTGAGGTAAAGTTTTAATCTTTGAAGGGTGGTTGGAAAGCTATTCACCTTATCTTCCTGTAGAGTCAACACTTTCACTGATTATATGTCTGTGATACCTCTGTGGCAGGTGTAGTAATATGTTTGTTGTATGTATTTAGTGCCAAAGATAGCATAATATGAACACAAGATGTTAGCGTTGTAGACTTTCCTGACGTGATCATAGTTTTGATAAGATTATAGAAATACAAATATATAGTACAGGGGACTTGTTAATATTTACAAATTGTTGTTGATGTGATACCATATGTAATTTCAAAAGTGTCAGACTTGTCAATGTAACATAGGGTTTAGGCTAAGATGACTGGGATAACTGATAAGGAAATATATTATAAAGTATGTGTCCTTCTGAAAAATCCTTCTGGTCACTTCATCACCAGATAATTTTGTTTTGTTTCAGGTTTCTAGATAACACAACTGATATTTTATGTGTATTGTAATAAGATAATATTTTGTGGTCAACGTATTTTTGGAGTCACTCTCTTTGAATTTAAAGAAAATATATTGTTTGTTTCATTGGTTGCTGGCAGGGCATATGTATTACATTGATGTATTAATTCTGTCATATCTCTTACCTGCAAAAATATACACATGTAGATTGATAAATTGAATGTTTGACTCAAATAAACATCAACTTGTATAACCAGTTATAATGAGTGTTGATTGCTTTTGGATTTAAGAGTACAGATCTGTGTCATGTAAAAAAAAAATTTGTTTTAAGAAAATGGTTGACAACTCCTGTACGCAAACTTAGTCAACCCAAGATGGAGAAACAGACAGTCACCATCTTGGAATCACACACAGCAGTGCCACCTGATGGCAGAATGATGCGACTCAAGGTAGGCAACTCACTTCATGTTTGTTTTATGTTTAATGTTTGTTCGTACTTGTTCAAATCAGTAGATGGTACAGTTGTTTATAATGATTTTCGATATTCTCTCTTAAAGCATTCGATGGTTGTTATGTTTAGGAATTTTCAATGGAAGATGGAGATCTGTGCTCTTTACGATTTCAATTATGCAATAGCAATGAAATAATAGAATAGAAGTTCTTATGACACAACCAGTAGAAGATTTAAGTGTAAAGTATCAATGACTTGTAACACAGTCACCTTCATCAGACAAATGACCAGTGTAGAGCATACTAGCACTGATGTACATATAGTACAAGATGGTTAGGTATCAACCAACTTTTTCAGCTGTACTATGTAACAGGAGTTGAAAAATGCGCGGCCAGACTGGGGTTCGAACCAGGGAACTTCCGAAATCTAGACAGATGCTCTATCGACAGAGCTAACTGGTCTCAGATGATCGACCCGTCCAGTTCCGTGACATTCCTCCCTCCTTAATTTTAAGTCTTTGCCCCCAAAGACATCACATCAAACAATCCATGTTTTGCTTATCCCTTGTTAAGCATACACCTACTACTAGAAACAAGATTTGGTCATGGCACCAAATGTAACAGGTGCAGAATATTGTTCGGCCAGACTGGGGTTCGAACCAGGGACCTTGTGAACTCTTAGACAGATGCTGAGCTAACTGGTTGTCGACGATTGACCCTGTCCTGTTCCGCTACAATTATATGTACACTAAGGTAGAAAATAAAGGAAACAGAATTATAGTCAAAAAATGAAGTACACAAGATGGTAACAATGTACTGTAGTCAGTTTGGCTACATTTTATGTACACATATAGCAAACATAGGATTATAGTACAGCTGAAAAAATTGGTCAATTCCTTACCTTATTGTACAATACATTTGTCAAGTGTTAGTATGTTTCACACTAGTCATTTGTCTGAACAATTGATTAATGTGCTTTGTACTTTCTTCAAAATTTAGAACCTCTTTATTTCTTGGCAGGATTATAGGAATTGGAATTGGTAGTAAACAACTTTACCATGTACTTAAATGGTAACCTAGACTTAAGCATTGATCTTAAAGGTAGGAACAGAAAATTCTAATTTTATCACAACATGGATATTTTGTCAGGAGTATTAAAAGAATTCTTATGGATTGTTTTCTGAAAAACACATTCAAAATGGACTTTTTAAATAATATTACAGTTTTTGTGATTTTAGGAGCATTTAGGAATATCGCAAATATAAGTCATTTGATATGGCATGTGTCCTTGTCTGGGTTACTTCCATGTTTGTGATAAAAAGAGTTTGCTGGTTAAAGTAGATACAAAGATTACTAAGTCTGGGTTGCTTCTATGTTTGTGATAAAAAGAGTTTGCTGGTAAAATTAAATACTAAGATTATTTTCAGCATTATGACTTATAATAATGTGATGTAAAAAAGACCTTTGCTTTTGTGATATGATTACAAACGAAGGTAGGTTACGGATTTTTGTAAAGAAGATTGCTGTGATGGAGCAGCCAAGGGAACATCTCCTGATTTCAGAGGTCTGTTTCTGATGTCTTCAATGGTAAGGTAAGTCAGTAGTGTACTCGTGGCATTTAGCATGGAAGAAAAACACAAAATACATGACTTTACTTCTTTGACCGCCTCTTCCTTTCAACCTAAATCCTACATCCTTTCACATCAACTGCCCTTTCAATATCTTCCTGCAAATCTGAATCCAACATCCTTTCACACTGATTGCCCCATCCTATTTCTTCCTGCCATCCTAAATCCTATTCACTTTAACCTTGACTGCCCCTTCCCATCACACTCATGCTACTCTCATTTACAACCCTTTACACTGTATCAACACAAATTGATCACCTGTGGAATTTCCTGTCCATAGCCTCCACCCTTCTTCACCTGTCTCAGTCTCTGTCTAATGTACTTGACTATGACTGTAGACCCACCTTTACCTGTCTGTATCTCTGTCTATTGTACTTGACTATGACTGTAGACCCACCTTTACCTGTCTGTATTTCTGCCTATTTTACTTGACTATGACTGTAGACCCACCTTTACCTGTCTGTATCTCTGCCTATTGTACTTGACTATGACTGTAGACCCACCTTTACCTGTCTGTATCTCTGTCTATTGTACTTGACTATGACTGTAGACCCACCTTTACCTGTCTGTATTTCTGCCTATTGTACTTGACTATGACTGTAGACCCACCTTTACCTGTCTGTATTTCTGCCTATTTTACTTGACTATGACTGTAGACCCACCTTTACCTGTCTGTATCTCTGTCTATTGTACTTGACTATGACTGTAGACCCACCTTTACCTGTCTGTATTTCTGCCTATTTTACTTGATTATTACTGTAGACCCACCTTTACCTGTCTGTATCTCTGTCTATTGTACTTGACTATGACTGTAGACCCACCTTTACCTGTCTGTATCTCTGCCTATTGTACTTGACTATGACTGTAGACCCACCTTTACCTGTCTGTATCTCTGTCTATTGTACTTGACTATGACTGTAGACCCACCTTTACCTGTCTGTATCTCTGTCTATTGTACTTGACTATGACTGTAGACCCACCTTTACCTGTCTGTATTTCTGCCTATTTTACTTGACTATGACTGTAGACCCACCTTTACCTGTCTGTATCTCTGTCTATTGTACTTGACTATGACTGTAGACCCACCTTTACCTGTCTGTATTTCTGCCTATTTTACTTGACTATGACTGTAGACCCACCTTTACCTGTCTGTATCTCTGTCTATTGTACTTGACTATGACTGTAGACCCACCTTTACCTGTCTGTATTTCTGCCTATTTTACTTGACTATGACTGTAGACCCACCTTTACCTGTCTGTATCTCTGTCTATTGTACTTGACTATGACTGTAGACCCACCTTTACCTGTCTGTATCTCTGTCTATTTTACTTGACTATGACTGTAGACCCACCTTTACCTGTCTGTATCTCTGTCTATTGTACTTGACTATGACTGTAGACCCACCTTTACCTGTCTGTATCTCTGTCTATTGTACTTGACTATGACTGTAGACCCACCTTTACCTGTCTGTATCTCTGCCTATTGTACTTGACTATGACTGTAGACCCACCTTTACCTGTCTGTATCTCTGCCTATTGTACTTGACTAAGACTGTAGACCCACCTTTACCTGTCTGTATCTCTGTCTATTGTACTTGACTATGACTGTAGACCCACCTTTACCTGTCTGTATTTCTGCCTATTTTACTTGACTGTTGACAGAGATAAATATTAATCAGTATATGATATTTAAGATATATATATACCATTACTTAGGCAATACAATTATCTCCCTTTATTTCACTTTTATAAATAGCTTTGAACTTTGCCTTCAAACACGGAAGTGTGGATGGACACTTCAATAAATGAGAATAACAGTGGACAGTCCAACAAGGCTGTAAGAATTATCTCCCTTCATATCACTGTTACCACTGTCTCTTACAATACGGCATACACAATACCTGGAAGTGATGACAATTCAATCATCAAGGCTGGAAGGGTCATCGCCCTTTATTCATTGTTATCACAAGCTCCGATGGTACTGACAGAACACAACAAAATACTTCGGGGTGGGGACAATGCAATCATCAAGGCTAAAAGGATTATCTCCCTTTATCTCATTGTTATCACAAGCTCCGATGGTACTGACAGAACACAACAAAATACTTCAGGGTGGGGACAATTCAATCATCAAGGCTGAAAGGATTATCTCCCTTTATCTCATTGTTATCACTAGCTCTGATGGTACTTACAGAACAAAACACAGTACTTTGAGGTTTGGACAATCCTTGTGGATTTAAATCTTATTACTTGTCTTTCTTACATCACTGTATTCTATTTCTTGTTGTAGACGTGTGATCATAGGTAAACTTATGATAGATTAACAAATATTTCCTATATTTTGAATTCAAAACTTCTGAATTATGAAAAATAAGAATGACAAAAAGAAATTTCTATTTCACTTGTGAAATTTCAGTTTATGTATCTGATTGTCAGAAGAGTGAGTCTGTTAAACATGTAAGTAACTTTAATACGCAAAACATGTTATCCGTAATTTGAAATCGAATGAGGCAGAAAGTATTTTCTGGTTTGAAATTTATTCTGTTGGCATAATATGTAACAGAAAACACTTGTACAATTTATGGAGATTTCAGACATCTTGTAAAAACTATGGTGATCACCTGCTCATCTGGTTGTAATGGTGTAGAACTCTTTCATCTGTCTTGTTTATGATTTCACTTCTGTCTGCTGTTTCTAGACTACAAACATTTCTATCAGTTCTCATAAACTTTTTATTAGTTGTTGTTCTGTAGAGTATAAATGAATGATTGTTTCTCAATTAATGCTGACATTTTTCAAGTAATTGTTTTGTAACGATCAAACGATAATTTTTTATTATCACTTCATGGTAATAATCTTTTATCAGTTACAGAAAAAAGATATTTGAGTTTTTGTAGAGATTCTGCAATTGTTAAGTATCTTTATTATGTGTTTCCATATTGAAGGAAAATCAGGGTTCTGCTTAAAAAACATCTACTTAAAAAGGTGGAACGATTCATGGCTATATCAATGTTGTTCTCATTATATATATGTAAATTTAAGACAGTGTTTCAAATGCCCAACCCATCCCTACACTCTTCAAAGAAGTCCTTATTTTCTTACTAAGGACCTGCTATGACTTTTTAGTCATCTCACTGTTTAATCCAGGGAATGCAGAGTTCATATTTACATTTTTACAGATATTCTAAAAAAACTTAACCTAAAAAACAAAACAAAAAAACTGTGATATATCTATATATTAAAAAAAAACAACCCAAAAAACAGTTGTAGACGAGAAGAATCAAACATGCTATTATATGCTTGATTTATATATCTATTTAGGTTTCAGATAAGAGTAATGACTTGATTAAGTTTTAAAGAAAATGACAAAAA